TAATCAGCCGAGTAGCCGGGATCAGATCTCTAAATCATTTATAAAGAAGCCACCGTCTCGGGAAGGGGAAGATTTTTCTTGCCTTAAGTAAATAAAAATCCAATCGGGGACAAATCCAATTTTCATTCCGTTGCTTGTTAGTCTCGTACTGGATTCTGTTGGGTTCCTTTTTTAACGGTCCATTTATCTCTTACAGTACTACTTCATTTCAACGTTCAACCTTCTTATTCCACTATAAATGAAACTAATTTTAGGGATTTATCGCTTTTATTTTAATTTTAACTCCCGACGTTTCGAACACTTTATAGCGTTCTGACAGAGAGTCCATCTCGTGACCATGAATTGACTTTGACCATTTTATTTAATTTCTGTTACTTTAGAACATTAACGGTGGTAGGGCCACGCAGCAGCCTCGGCTGTTGCACGAATGGGCTGGCTCGTCCGGGTAAGTACCCCGACCTCACAGAAGACCAGCGTAAAGCGGAAGTATAATACTTTCGCGTTTCATCTGGTGAGTGAGGTGGCCGGATCCCAATCTTTAAAGGGTTGTCAACGCACCTGCAACCCTCGGATGCAGCAGATGTCCATGGGCGGCGGTATTCACTTAACATCAGGTGAACCGTCTGCTCGCTTGGCAACTTTTCACATAAAAAAGAAAAATTACACTACATTATGTTCCTACCAGTTATTTTAATAAGTTTGTAAACCGACTTCTCAAGCTCGGTTTCGTCTGTTACTTGTACCATATTAAAAAGTGGGTCCTAGTATCATATTGTATCATATACTATCATATACCCATGTAAATAGAACACATTTCTGAAATAACTTGAGGGAAGGCTTTGTTATGAGGAACAAGAAAAATTAAACACCGACGTGAAATTTATTTGAACTCGGCCCTAACTTTATGAATATATTCATTGAACGTCAGTGTGTAATGAAAGGAATAAAAATGAAACGATTGGAGGCGTTGGAGCGGCATTGTTCAAAAAAAATCTTAGATTTTTTTTCTTTTAGAGTGCAATGACGTAATTTTAATTTTAATTGTTATCGAACATATATTCTAATAATAGAAGGTAATTGCGATGCTTAAAATGGCTCCAGTACCGCAGTTCTTAAACTGCTCGCCGGTACGACAAATTGTTCAATAGTTCAATTTATTTCAAAATATTTGATTTATGAACATTATTACGACGTATTTTTTCCAATGAGAAAAGTTGTCAAGCGAGTCAAGTTCACCTGATGTTAAGTGATATCTGCCGCCAATTGACATTTGCAACGCCTGATTCGTTGTCGACGAGTTGACAACCTTTTAAAAAGCCCTGGTTACCTTACTCACCAGACGAAAAACGAAATTATAATAATTCCACTTCCGCCGGTCTTCTGCGAGGCCGTGATAACTCCATTCGTGGAACAGTAGAAACTTGCGTGGCCCTATCACTGAAAATGTATCATAGAATTGCCATAATTTATTAGGGAATTAATGTCATCAGGTGAGCCTCCAGATCGTTAGCCCCTTTTCTCCATAAAAAAAATTTAAATTTTTTTTTAAATTTCCCAAATGTTTTTCTTTCAAATCCATTCATTGTGGCGCGTCTACAGGCCATTTTATTTAATTCTGAATCGTTGAAAATGTCAATTGTCGAAAATTAATTCAACTTTAAACTTTTATTTCAGTTTGGATCTACCAAAGTTACTCGTTGTTAAGGCGTTTTATTTGAATGAAATTTCGCGTATACTTTCTGTTATAACCAAGTAAGCAATTTTATATTACAGATCTAAATGATGGTGTAAATTGTTCGGTGCCAATACTGTAGTGGTATCCTTTGCGGTTAGTTATAAATTAATCGTAGACGATTCGATGAAAGTAAAACTTAAATAAACAGGTAGCATAGGGTAGTAAACAGAATAGACAAAGATAATACTAATCACACTTTACCAAGCTTAATGATTCGTAATCATGATATTTGATAAGCCTAAAGCCTGTACAGGTCCCACTGCTGGGAAAAGGCATCCTCTGTATAAAGTTTCTAGGGTATAGTCCATCACACAACCCCACTGCGGTCAGAGGACCGCACATATCTTCGAAACATTTTTTTTGTTATTTTTACAAAATTATGCAGCTTTCCTCACGGCGTTTTCCCTCAATTCTGAATACATAATTATACAGCACTTACAAACGTTCATTGGTGCCGGCACCGGTATTTGAACTCAGGTCGCTCGAGTTTATTAACTTAAAAACGAACGGAACTGAAACCAGGAGAATGAGCTATCGCGGCTCTTCTTATCCTTTAAGCCGTGCAGCACAAGGGTAAAACAATTAGCCGGCGTCTTCAAGGCTCAAGTGAATAGACTTTTAATGGGCTAATACCCGTTTTCACCATCGACCTTAAGTATGACACTTAAGCGGTGATGAAATTGAAACTGGAACTTAAATGTATCTAGGTGTACCTTAAAGTTAGGGATCGATGGTGAAAACGGACATAAGAAGAGTTTACCATCTACGGCTGCATCGCCACTTACCATCAGGTGAAATAGCAGTAAAACACTAGGCAGACCTTTATAAAAAAGCAGTCTGGGACCTCCGACAAAAGTGATAACTTAAAACTATAACAGATTTTAATGAATTAGTATGAATATTTAAAATCACAAAACACTAGTTTAAGTTGCAGAATACTTTAATTTAATTTTATATATGCCCGAATCAAATACATTTCTAGTTATTCCTTAGTACAAGTACCTATTTGTACAGGTAATATATCGGGCACAAGTTTCACACAGTAATTTCTGCACTTAACTAATTCTAAAACTGAACAGCCGTTAGTGTGATGTGCCTCTTTTTTCCTTATTTAAAAGATGCCCTTACTGTAGGATAACATTATCCGATATTATAACGACGTTTTACAACATAAATTTCACGTGGACAAACATCCAGATGCGAAACAACTATCTGTGGGACACACAATATTTATCCCGTGTGGGAATCGAACCCGCGATCCCCGACGCGGAAGTCAATACCTTGGCAACTGCGTCACGGAGTAATCTGACAATTAGTTGTGACATATGGGAATCGAATCAACGACCCACAGCACCGAATCCTTTGAGAACTGCGCCACGGAATTGATGATTCCTCTTCGTTGAAATTCTTTAACATTTACTGACTACATATTATGATGTCTCTATGATAATAATATATAGCTGAGCCTCGCAACTGGCTTTGAAAGAAGAATGGGCAGGCCCTTCCGAGTAGGACTACGACAACACAGAAGACTGGCGTGAAGTGGTAGTGTTATACTTCTGCGTTTCGTCTTGAGAGTGAGGTAGCTGGGGTCACTTTTTTATAAGTTGGCAACGCATCTGCAATCCTACGGGTGTTGCAAATGTCAATGTGCAGCCGTTATCACTTAACATCAGGTAAAACGCCGGCTCGATTAACCTACTCGCAAAAAAATTAAAATTTAAAATGAAAACAAAAAAGGGCTCGTCCGGGATTTGAACCCGGGACCTCTCACACCCGAAGCGAGAATCATACCACTAGACCAACGAGCCGGTTGACCTTTCACCCCTAAAATAGACACTACTTCAAGATAGAAGCAGAACTAAACAACATGTGAAATAAACGTAACAGTTATTAACATGATTTCACGTGACAATTTTTTGTCAGACTCATATTAGATAAACGATAACATACGTTACAATTAACTTATTTATAGATTATTTTTCACAGCTAAACACACACATAATTATGTAACAATCATGTGGGTGTTTAGCTGTGAAAAATATTTAAAATGTTCAATTGAATTAAATGTCTTTCTTTATCAGGACCGAAACACACAGACACAGAAATTTATAAACCGCTTTTAAATAACGATTATTATGAATACTATGGCCAAAGAAACATGTAAGTATCCACATTCGTTTACGTGCTTTGTTATACAATTACGGAATAAACGAGGAACGTAATATAAAGATTAGGAATTTTGTCGCATTTTAATGTTGATTTTGAAATTACCGTCGTTTCGAATCCTTTCCAGCGTTCATGGTCCTGTGACCAAATGGCACATGAACACTGAGCGATCACGGCTGTTGTACAATTCCATAATTATTTTCTAATAATAACTATTAATTTGCGTATTTCATATTGTTATGGTTCATTTCTATGCCCCCCATTGACTTCCACTTCGACCGGTCGTTAGCGGGCTGCATCCAACGCGTCCCTGCGAACATGGCTAGGTCGTCCGTCCAACAATGTTTAATTCAATTTTTCATTAATATAACATTTTTAAGTTTCGTTTAAAGTGCAAAGACTGCCGATAATAAATAATTTAAAACTAAATTATATTTCCATTTAATTTTAGTGTTGTGATGAAGGAATTCATGCAGTTACGCACAAAAATGTGCACAATAGCAATTGCGATAGATGCTGTGACAAAAATCTTCCCATGTCGTTCCTATCCGTTGTTACACTGACAAGACAAGGCATCTGCCTGCCTTGTTCTAATACCTCAATCGCAGCACTTAAGTCGAATTGAATTTGTCTCGACCGCGAATCGAAAACAAGGCAGGCCTCTTGAAAAATTTGTATAAAAGTGTACAGGGTAGAATAGCGAGTTACTAATAAACTCGTATAGAATGATATTGAGTAACAATTTTGATAATAAAAAACATGAAATCAACAAGCATTCCCTCATCGTCGTTTAATAAACATCTCTGTTTTGATCTTACTTTGTAACTTCTTCACTGGTCAAGGTAATTCAAACGACAGTCTGTTAAGTAACTTTACTAAATAATGTTATTCACTAACTTTACTAAATAACGGTGGATAAAAACACATCAACACTTGATAAATACCTATATAAAAGATATATAGGTATTTATCAAGAAATAGAATAGATTTATAAGATCAAATACATAGATAAATTGATTGTCATTGAGTTGCTTGTAAAGTTAATAAGAAGTTTGGTCTGACGTCAAGGGATAATATGAAAGTTCATATTTCACTACAACACTTTCAAACCAAAATCACATATGTTCCATTGGATGAATGTGGCTGGATAAAACGTTCCGTCCGTGAGAAAAACTTCTCTGACGGCGAGCAAAAGGTTTGCGTCGATTTCAGATAATGCAGAAGATACTACGGACTCTGGAAATAAACAGTTTTGTTTTTAATATTATCTGTAAGTAATTGTTTTTAATCTTTGAAAATACAACCTTGTTCACAGGCTCTTTCGATCGTTGAGACGAAATGAGAGTGAAAGTAAGACAGGTATAGATAGATAGAGTAAGAAAATAAGTAATAATCTATAACTATGAGTTAGAATAGATATAATAAAATAGATTGGAATGGAGAAAGCTAAAGACACGATAAGGATAGTCTTCTGTTTATTGTAAAATATCTTTAGAAAGGACGCCAATTCCAGGTCCCAAAACGTACGACGGGGATACGTCATTAACGTAAGTGAATACTTCGCTTTGGTCTAACTGTAAATTCCTCAGGTTAGGTATAATGATGGTTGCGACCACAGATTCTGGGAAAGGTGAGAAAAAATAATAGCGCAATACATTTTTCGTATAAAAGAAAACCTTGAACGAGTAAGCTCTGCAAATCACGTTACGTGATCACCGCTGTCCACGAATGTCCACTACACCCGTGGAGTAGCAGTAGCTCTGTTAAAACTTCACAAGGTGGACCCCACCAGTTAAATCACTCACCAGTGAAATGCCTAACTATAGTTACTTCTGCGGAATCCTTTACGGTGGTCTTAAGAAGGTGCTAGTGTTTTAGTAGACTGCTCGTTCTGCACACTTCTGGATAGTAGATTCTTTGCAATAGTAGGTTTGTATATGTATATACAACCAAAAGACGTTATCTGTGAGAGAGACCTGTGTTCAGCAGTGGACTTGAAATGTCTGAAATGATGATTTTTTTTGATGATGATATCTTTATGAGTAAACATTCTTATAATAAAGTTCAGTCTATATAAAAGTATATTTACGATAAACGACAGTGACGGCGTCTCCTGTCACGACAGGCTCTCTGGATCGTCGTTGGAATCTAAAGTAGGCGAAGCTGGAATTCAGCGATAGGCCTCTGAACTCAATCGTTAAGACTAATTTGTCTGTTTCTCTGTTCACACTGAAATACAAAATATGAGATGAACTTCAGGATACTTTCGCCTTAAAGAAATACATCCTTACCACGCCACTCTCGGTTCAAAATATTCAAAAATCGGTGACGTTATAGGTTACATAAATATTTGAGTTATCCCAAAATAATGTGCATTTGTTTATATTATAGTTATGCAAGTGAGGCACGATCTCTTACTTTCATTAGCTTTATTATTCCGAGAGTTTGGAGACGGAGTACTCTATTACGCCTCTCAGCCGAGAGGCAGATTTTCTTTGTCATACACTAACGTCAGATTATTTAAATTAACTTAAACCAAAGGTTTTAACGTATCGCCCCCACCTTAACCGATATTAGTCCCCTACCCAACCAAAATGATATTTTTTATAAACCGTAGTGTATTACATATCCCAGTTATTTCAAATTTTAATTTTAATACAATAAATAAAAACCATCCAACGACATTAGAACTTTTTAGCAACAATAAAACTAAATAGCTCGATTTTCTCAGTTACGTAACTTATGAAGCGTCGCAGCTCACGGGAATATTCCCCATACGAGACAAATATTTGCTAAAGCAATTACTTCCAGACTTATACAGATTTACGTCTACACGTTATCAATTAACACAAAACGTTATTATGAATATGGCTGTTAATAAAGTAGATTATCATATCTAGTAAGCAACTTACTAAAACTCTTCAATGCGTCCGTTCAATCCCTTCAGTTGTATGTTCGTTAAAATTGTGGTAATATTTGCAACTGGAATGTACGAGGTGCTTTGGGCCCTGTAGTACGGTTCCGGGACGGGACCGTAAGCTACCTTGCAGTTTGCATTGTTCGCGAAGTACTGGCGGATGCAGTAAGTGTCGTAGACGGGGCAGGGACGCTCGAAGTTCTCATCACTAGTACCTTTCGTATATAAACATATATATGACGCTCCTCAAGTGATAATTACTACAAATATACACGATGACTCCGTGGCGCAGTGGCCAAGGTATTGGCCTCGGCGTCGGGGGTCGTGGGTTCGATTCCCATACGGGACTTACTATTTGTGCGACCCACAGATAGTTGTTCCGCATCTGGGTAAATATATAAAAATGTTGGATCCTAATTTAACTAAATCAAGAATAAAGAGAAGTTCTAGCATTATTACTTTACAAGTGTTTACGTGTTCAGGAATTATAATCTAATTTACTAACTTTTGATTCACGCAGAAACATCAAAAATGCGTTAAGTAAAAATTGTTTCATTATTAAATCGTATATCATTCAGTAACTGTAAATAAATTGCATTTTTTCCGAATAATAACGGTTATTGCCACAATTGAATTGTTGAATGGCAATTACTTCTACATAGAAAGGTAATAAAAGAGATTCAATATCATACATATAAAAAAGAAAATAGTAAAAATTTACCTCTTTAAAATATTAGTAAAGACAACACATAATAATGAAAATTAAGCAAATGAGGTAAGAACTTAACACGAGATTTGAAAATAATACTATTTCGGGTAAAGTAACATACAAGAAAATATGTGTTTTACTAGTAGAAAACCGATGTTTGTTGCTACTGAAACATATATTTACTACTTGTTTTTGTTGACCAATTTTAAATGTCGGTATTATAAAATCAAGTAACACTCACCGTTATTTGTTATGTTTGCGGACGTAAAATTTGCTGAAAGAAAAAGAAGTTTAAAATAGTAAAGATCAATTAACAAATATCAATGAAAACAAAAATCTTAATTTAAAAAAAATCTATGCTTACAAGTAAAGTTTGCTGTGAAATTTGTGATTAATTCTGAAAAGGAAAACATTATTAAAGTATTAGGAATAAAATTTATTTATTAGTTGGTACATCCTGTATAAGTGGTTAATTTATAATATTTTATGATCTAAGGTCTAAAATGGGATGGCGGTTTATCTGTTGGTTACTAATTGCCACTGCCCATAGACAACACCAAAACCTGTAGGGAGTTCCCGAATATCGCTTACAAGATGGATATATACTGGGTTGGTAAACATCGAGTAAAATATTTAATAAAAATATGAAGAACTTGGTGAAATCATTTATTATTAATGGTTCGATTATAATAAAAATAATATAAACATAATATAAGAAATAACTTACGTTCATGTGACACGATAAGCCATTTGCAAGAGCGTCTTATATTAAAATGGTGACAAATATAAAAATGAAATTAAAAAAATAAATAAATTACCCGATTTAGTCAGCGCTGGGGAGTTCTGCGCGTGGCAACATCCCATAAACAGAATGAGCACAGATAATGCAGTATTCATCTTGCCAGGTTTCGTATAGCGCGATACTGTCTCACAAAATACCCATAGCTATGTACATATGTAGTTCTGTTCGCGTGTTTGTTCATATCAATCAGCATAAACATTGTTGAGGCGCATCGTTAATCAATTGCGCGCAACATGCAGGGCAAAAAAACTGATACCTCTACAGGGGTACTAATATGACTACGGCGTGTTTTATTTCCTCCATATTAATAATGGTTTTGAAATAAAAAACTTGATAGTGGTAGTGACATCAGACAAAGTCAGATGTCTACGACTGTAACTGCTTCTGTAATCAAAAGCTTTATTCTAATAACAGTATTCAAATCAACTTTTAATATTATACGACTCAATTTAAGAATTCCTTACGCATGTAGCAGGTAACGCCAGCTCTCCTTTTTAGATGTCTCACATTGCTTATAATAGTAAAAATATAGAAATATTTTACTTTTAAATTTTATTATAATGTAATACTGCAATAAATAACATGCTGTAGATTATAATTAATGTAGCCATGAAACGTAGTTCAGTGCCATGTATTATCTCATAATCTGATTAACCTGAACGCTGGTGATCTCAATACATAACAATCGCGTGGTAGGAACAATTAGATGTGTTTTGAAGCGATGAAAGATGATTTAAATGATGCTTCAAAGAATATCGGACTATACGTAACTTATATAATAATTTTATACGTTTAAAAATATTTTTATATAATAACTGGCGGTTAACCTGAAGTGATAACCGCCACGCATAGACATTTGCAACACCTCGTTGCAGATGCGTTGACATCTGTTAATTACGTGGGCCCCGGCTACCTCACTCACCACACGAAACGCAGAAGTATAATACTTTTACTTCGCGCCGATTGATCTGTAAAGGCCTGACTGTAAAGGTCTTAGATCGGTACAAGCCTGAGAAGGCCAACAGTGGTTGATACAGCCAAAAAAATGCAACAGCGGCGAATGTTGCACGACCATACAACAATATAGAAGTACTAAATTAAGAGGGAAGACGAAGCGGATAAAATCCATAACATTTTAGCAGTTATAACCTACAACCACGGCTCTATCACTACATGTAAATCTTAAATTACTTTTATCAACACCAAAAGACGTTTCAATTTACGTTTAAGTAGCTTCGCTGGGTTTTAGCTTATATGCAGTAAAGGTTTACACTTTCGGAATTCTACAAGATACATTTATTACATTTAATTGTCAACTTTTACGCCTGAGGGACGATACTTGACGCTTTGACAACGTAAGTGTGCAGTTTTTAAACATTTTAATGATGATTATTGTTTTTCCGCTACTTATTGTAGAAAAGAAAATAATGAAGTTAATTAAGTGAACAGTGACAACCAATATAATTGAATTTTTATTTCATGTGCTACTTCGCTGCACCTAAAATGATACTTAAATTGTCTAGATAAATTGACGAAATTTAATATTCACCGCTACCTGCATTCGGATAAGATGACGAGACTTAAAAGCCTGAAAAAAATCAAGGTCTGCATAAGCATTATTTTGATTGTTGTTGGTAAATAGTTCTTAAGTCGACGGAGACAGTAGTGACTCTTTCACCGACACTTTTAATTTGGTCTTACCAGCTCAGTGTCTGATATCATATCAATGATCCCACCGAGGTTCATTAAGCTTTGGCTGATAGGAATAGAAGGGTTGTCGTAAACTATGTGAAGTATGTCCCGCCGTGCTGTAGTTGCTTGGTGGACTATACAGTCCATCAAGCAACAATCTAAATCAGGGAGGTCTTTACTCAGCAGTAAACATACATAGGTTAGCTTTACTTTACATTTTTTTTTATTTGCATACTCGCGCTAAGCAGTGGCAAGCCAGTTATTTCTTAAATCGTGGGTGTAGCAAGACATTTTTCTTTCAGAATAGAAAACCCCTCATAAAAATGCAAGAGCTTCGATAATGTATCAATTTCCCGGGGCGCCCTACAAAAAGGGAGTCCGCTTTGGGTGGGCCCTGAATCACGATGAAAAATTACAGACACTTCAGTTTTTTCGGTTTTTGTCACTGATCGTGGGTAACAACACTGTAATTAACAGGGGCTTATTTATGTTGTAGGTTAAATACGAGATTAAAAAGTCTCTCGCATTGTGCCCGTATGTTATGTATGTCCTACTTAATGTTTGTGATACGTATAATAGTATGAACATTGAAATTCAACAGCTTGTTAAATAAAAATTAAAAATTAAGTACTAATTTGGCTTGTGCTTAATATTCAGATCTAATTACATACTATCCAAATCTGCCAATCCTTTCACGACATTGCATAAATCTATGAAAATGTAATTGCATAAATCTATGCATAATGTAACCATAATTATGCTTCCACTTTGCGCTGGTCTTCTGTGAGGTCTTGGTACTAGCCCGGACGAGCCTGCCCATTCGTGCAACAGCCGAAGCTCCTGCGTCGCCCTACCACAGTTATACCCCTACCGTCACCGACATGCTAATGTCACGTGTTTTGATATGATGATATCGAAATTTTAACGCAACCACAATAAAAAAATCGATGATTCGAATCGAAATCAAAATATCGATGATTTACTGCCCGCCGTTCTTATGTCACATATCTTGATCATGAAATAAAGAGATTCGTAACCAGTCGTTTGACTTTCGAAGAATGTACTTTCCTTTACCAATAAGAACAAGATTTATTTAGAGGAATGAAACGGAGGCTGCCACTGTCCGGCGCATTGATATTGATGACGACTGTACTCCGTCGCTGCTTAATGTACACGCCTCGACATCCATCTCGGAGTTCATTTATATTGATGAGCTTTTGTACTGGAACTGAGACTGAAGTATTTCGGGCTTAGAATTATTTACACTAAAGTAGGATGTTTTGAGTACAGAGTATTTACGTCATACTTATCGAGCGTTTTCTCTATTATTTCCTGTGTCGGTGAAATCTATCTCAGTCTTCCTCTAGGTTTACAATAACGTTTACGCTGCTGTTTTAACACAGTTATATAACGTTAAAAGTAAGTAAGATGTGTTACCGTAATAAAATCAAAAATACGGTAGCTTGTATATATGTTTGTTTATTTAAGAAACTGACCAGTGCTTGACCATTAGGAATTTTTAGAGATTTCCAAAACAATTTTACGTTAAATAACTTGAAGACGCAGGTTCGAATCCTGGTAGCACCAAAATTTTTCTAAAATTTATCTTTTAAACTCACATTTAAGTTTTATATTGAGTGCCGAAAAACACTAAAAATAAATAACAACGATAAGCTTAACTCTATTAGATACCTAATTCTTTTGAAAGTGATTGTTCAAGCAATTTTAACACTAATAATATTATGGAATAAATTGCATTCTACTTTTAAAGTACTCTAAGTATTACACATTGACGTGAGGTTAAATTACTCTAAGTATGATACATTGAATTATAGTTTAAAAACTTAAACTTTAATACAATGTATAATACTTTCACAAAGTATCAAAATATTTTGGGCGTAGTACGGTGGGCGAAGCAAGGGCGTGCCCGGTAACGGAATAAAATATTACAAGAACTTTTTTGCTCCTGACTCGACTCACTACTCATGAGTTACGGAGTAAGGCTCGCAATGAACAAGGAATTAGTCGACATTTAAATAAATGAGTGTGAGGAAAATCTTCAGCTTTCCTGTTCGATTTTGGTGGTGTTCTGGATAATATTGTCTATAAATAAATCATTTATAAATAGCATCTTAAATTGTTGTGTTACATGAATAGTTGTAACCTTCGCATCTTAATCTGTCACTGTAATAAAGCAACAACTGCATAAATAGAACGACATACATGTGAATCACGGCCTGACAGTGCGCTGGTGTAAATTATCTATACTTTATCTATAAATTCTCTTCTCTTTGATCCTATTTATTACGTGTACTAAAAGTTCCTCTACTGCTTCTCTATTCTTCTTCCCTAATTCCATTTAGGTGGCGGCAGCACCTCATATCAATCAGTGGTTAATGATATTGGTTAGGTACTTTTTACGACTAACCACCGGCACCTGATTTACACCCAGATCCGGAAAAATTATATAGGGGTCACACAAATACTTGTCCCGTGTGGAATAATGGAAAAATATGGAATCCACGACTCCTGGAATACCGAAGAAAACAACTTAAAAACTGCCCCGCCAGGTCATTTAGATAACACCGGGTCGAGATAAAATAATTCAGTTATTTCTTGCTCGGTGGTAAAGAGAAATAGTATACACTACTCTATGACATTTCAGACCATTGCTTGCACGAGAGGAGATAAGTACGTTGAGTACATTGGCCTTTGAGGTGGACAACAAAAGTAAGTGTATTTAATGATGAATGCATTTTCAACTTCAAGAAAAGTATTATAACATTCTTTTCTTTTTTAGTTCGGTCTACTAGTTGGGTAACTGAATGTCCTCCCTTTTAAACATTAGTCTCCAATCTTTCTGGTGTAGTCCCTAAATATTCACGCGAAACAATAATCTCTTGCCATCAGGTAAACAGCTTACTCGTTTTCCAACTTCACCTTAAATGAAATCCGAAAAATCTAAAAAGCAATTCATTAAGTGAAGACTGTTAAAGTCGTTCCACCCGTCCACAAGACTTTTCTCTTAATGCCACAGAAATGTCCATTGTCAAGGATGGATCTTTTATTCAAGTTTTAATTTCATTCGGATTTCGAAAATTTATTCCTTGTTAGAATGCTTTATACAAAACTCTTGGTTAAATAAGACGTATTTTTATCGCCTTAATTCAGTTGACTTAAGATTGTTCAATACAGTAGAAAGGAATATCCTACCTACCTAACGATTTATTTCCTCCAGTCTTTGCTAGGTTATATTCTATAATGCCCTTTTGTTAGTTGGCTTAAGGTTCGTGTCGTTTAGGATCAACGGAGATTTCAACTACTTTCGGATTTGATTACTCCAGATTCTAACGCGCAAAAGCACCTTTTATACTTTTCCAATTTAGGAGCTAGTAAAATCTAT